AAAAAAAAAAAAAAAAAATATGAAATGACAAATAAATAACGAAGCGATAATATTGAATAATATAAACATTATCGGTAACATATTTGTATTTCGCAAAATATAATCTAAAATTCGAAAAAAAAAATTGTAAATTGGGAATCAATTTATTTAAAGAAAAAAAACTGTTGTCAAACTTTTTTTGGTAGTTATATTATATTTCATGTTATATTTATACAACTTTTTAGCAATATCATGTATGCATATACTTTATTGTATTTTTTTGTAACAAGAATTTACTATTTATCGTAAAGGTATAATAACTGATTGCACAACTTACGAGTGTCAGTAAAATCATTACGTTTTACATATATATGGATATAACGAAATCATAGTATAATAAAACATTTACAAGTAGTGACAATAGAAATTATTAAATAGTTGTTAAACGTTGTATGATTTGTTAATGTCTTTGGTGTAGTTTTAATATGGTTCTTCTTTTGAAGATTTATGTATATGTTATATTGCTCTGTTGAATAATTTTTATTGAAACGAGGAAGAGAATAATTTATAAAAAAATGTTTTAAATATATATTTCATTAACCACAATAATACAATCTTATAAAGTATATTAGTGCAAAAATAAGAGTTTGGAATTGAAAACCCACAAGATTATCAACAAAGAGCAAAAGAAAATAAAAATATAGGCAAGAAAAAGCGAATGTATTGTACTTATTAGAAAGTGAACACACATGTATTCAGTATAAGCAATTATTCTTATTTATTTCACGGTTTAATTACAAAGTATAAAAGCAAAGTCAAAGTTAATAATGTTTTTAAAATAATTTAATGAATACATAATATTAAAACAAAATATTATAAAGCAGAAACGCTCATAGTTTTCACAGTCGTAAAACGTGCAAACATGTTAGCGTTTTTAAATAATTCTAAGTGAATAAGTAAATTCTTTTCTCGTTCGCAAGTTTTTTATTTGGATTCTAATAGAAAAAAAATTATATTTCATGGAAAAATTTTAAAAATAAACAGACAACGGGTGTGTACAAGTATTGGTGATTATTAAAAATTTTTGCGTACAATTAGAAATGTTAATTAGTTGTCACTCCTTTAAAAATTCATGACTAAATCATGCAAGTTCTTATAAATTTAAATTGAGTATGTATAAATAATTTATACTATTGTAGGGCCTAAAAGTAATATGTAAATTATGTTCAAAGAAAAAACTGTAAAAATAAGAAAATTAACATCCACTTAAAAGCCTCGTAGGACCTTAGAAAAGTAAAGTAATGATTTAACTTTCAAGAGCTTAGACAAGGTAAATATTTTTTCTTTTTATCACCGATACTTTTCACGTAGTGTTATTTACATCTTGTGTTAGATATGTACATAAAATTTATTTATCATTTTATAAGTTGAAAGTTTTACAAGTGAAACATAATTATTTCATAATCCTCGTATGTGTTGTACATGAAATTTCAATGTGGTGATTCTTCACTCTTAATATTGCGTTTCTTACTCTTGCCTGTATTATGAAAAAAAAAAAAAAAAAAAAAAAGGGAAAAAAGGGGGGGAAAAGTTGTTTAATATTTTTTTGTCATTCCCAAATTTGGAACAAATTCCCAAAATTATTTAGCCAAAAAAAAAAAAAAAAAAAAAAAAAGAAAAACTCAATTACATCCATTCTTTATTACTCCCGTAAAAAAAATTAATTAGTTACTGAGGAAGTTTTGACCCTTACACACGACTAATCGCTCTTTTCTTTCGTCCGGGAACCTTTTTCCTCGGATCAATTTTCAGGAACTTACTTCAATTGCATAATGTTCATGGTGGCAAGCAGTGTCGTCCTAACTGTTCTTGTCCTAAACTATCACCATCGCAAACCTGACAATTACGAGATGCCGAATTGGGTAGGTATCCTTTTTTTGGACCAAAAAAAAAAAAAAAAAAAAAACATGTCATCCAACACTTTGAAATGATTTACTTTTTAATCCGCTGTGCCCATTGTGGTTCGTGTAGACGAAAACCGTGTTTTTACAATGGCTCCCTTGGATACTGAGAATGGACCGTCCCGGCAAGAAAATCACGAGGAAGACGATTCTCATGAGCAACCGCATGAAAGAGCTGGAACTTCAGGAGCGGAGCAGCAAAAGCCTACTGGCCAACGTTTTGGACATAGATGACGATTTTCGACACATAAACAGCGGCCAAAACCCCACGTCCACTTACCTGAGGTACTTCACGCACCACATCACAAAACTACACTAAGAAAAAAAATAAAATAAAATTAATAAAGAAATTCCAGCAAAAATCACCATTTTGCACAGTAAATTGGATGCTAGCTGATAGAAAAAAAGGAAAAAATTTTTATTTTTAACAGTAAAAATGATGGTAAAAACAGTAAAAATTACCATGTTGGAACAGTACACCTTAAAAGGATCGGTTAGTAAATTATACTGTAGTATGGAAATTTTTACTGTTCCAACCGTAATTTTTACTTTTTAAATCATAACTGTTGAAACAATAATCTTTAATATTAAGAAAAAAAAGATTTTTCCTTTTATCCATCAGTTTTAATCCGATTTACTGTGCGAGATGGTAAATATTTCCTGGAATATATTTATCTGTATAACTTTAATTAATTTTTTCTCTCAGTGTACATTGAAAAATAACCCATGGAGGGGAAAAAAAAACAAACAAAAAAAAAAAAATGAAAAGCTTCACGGAAACCCTAAAAGCATATCTTTCAAGCTCCATGTCCCATNAAAAAAATGGTTCACCACCAAGGTTTTTTTTATTCTTTCAAACCAAACCCAAAACTCCTGGGACATACCACAACTGAAAATGCAGCGGTACGGAGAAACATTTACGAGCCGTTACATATTTTTACTCGTTCCCCTGATCGGTTGTTTTTGCCACGAAGGTGAGTCACTCGTGAGAAAAATATTCTTTAAAAAAAATCCAAATTACAAGGGGGGGAAAAAAAAAAGTGTCCACAGGCAGCCAAACCGACCGAGGTTCTTGTGTCGTATCAACCGACGATTTCAACGAGAAGCAGCCCCTGATCCTTCAAGCCAGGGGCACGCCAAAAATCATGTACCCAGATGTTACGAGTCCCACGATGATAAAACTCAGAACCGACGAAGCTCAAGTGCGATTATCGTGTCCTATGGGTCTCCTCACGGTCAAGTCTGTCGTTCAGAACGTCAGTTCGGCGTTGCTCGTTTGCCTCGATGGAACGACCCTAAGATTCGGCAACTCCCAAAACGTAAGGAACTCTCAGCACATGACGTAATCTGAAATCGTTATTTTTTTTTAAGTAAATACTAAAGAAATTGCTAAAACTCCATTTGTTAAAGCATCACGTGCATTTCACAGTTTAATCGATTATTTTTGTTCCTCACGTAAGTACCACTTTGGAACGGTTTTCGACAAGCGTTTTTTTATAATTTTTAGAAAAAAAAAAGACTTATTCCGTGTAAATTTTGTTTCTTCGAAGTGCGTTGTCTTGATCATTGGTATTTTAATTTTTAAATCCGTTAACAATGTTATTATATTTATTGATAAAACTTCAATGACGAATCGTGTCCATCGAATGAAACACACATGCACTCTACATGCACTCGTATGAGGTCCCTACGATCAGCCAACTCAGCATAGATGGCGTGCTGTAGCTAAGGGAAAAATGGCGTCACTGACACACTATACGGCTATAAGTGACGACGGTATACGGTAATGTAGACGTACTCATGTGACAACATATCCATCACGCTGACGTCAGGAGGTCATGAATACTACATTTGTGTCAATGTGACGCCATTTTTCTCTTAGCTGCAGTACGCCATCTATGCTGAGTTTGCGGACCGTAGAGACCTCATACGAGGAGCATGATGTGTTTGAGGTTATGTTCCCAATGTGTCCCAGTTTGAAACGGCACTTCGCGATACTATTTTTTTTTTTTATTCACCAGAACATACAACAATTAAAAATTCTTACTCTTTAAAGAAGTTTAAACTTAAAAGATTATGCGAATTTATGAACGACCGTCTAGAACTCTATTTATTCCTCACTGTTTCATGTGGGGGACGGAATTTTTTCAAGTGTTTCCAAGTGGTACTTTTACCTTATGGTACACTTGTAAAATCGCATTGAACGAGTTCAAATGATGAAAAAAAAAAAAAAAATCTCACCAGATAGCCGGTGAAATAGTTAATAAATTGTTGTGGTTGGAAAAAACCCTAGGAAATATCATCGTTCAAAGAAATCGGCTGCACCAGGGAGCCAACACCCGTTGTGAGGACGAAAGGTTCCCGAGCGCGAGGCGGCTCGTCGATCCGCACGTTGGAGATCGGATTCCAGTTGAACGTGTTTGATTTCGTGGCGGTGATCGAGTCGATTTCGGTGGATGTCGAGACCCTGCAAATTTTCGCGGCTTACGTAAAAATCCAGCCGGGCATCGAGAGCCGGCAGATCGGCAGGGGTGCCTCGCCTCTCAGGATGGGCCCGATGTATCGAGGTGTACGCGTGCACGTGGCTGACGTTTATAGGAGGTGCTACCAGAGGCAGAGGTTCATGCGGATTTTTGACGATCCGCTGCTAGTTGACCAGTACTTTTCCAGCACAGGTGGCCCTAGAAGCTTTCATACTTTTGATTATACTTATCCTTTCAATCAGAAATTCATTTTTCATTTTTTTTTTTTTTTTTTTTTTTACCCTCCAGGGAAATTCCCGGCGGGAACCCAACCTTTTCCCCAAATAAAAAAAAAAAAAAAAAAAAAAAAGAATTGCCATAAAATCCAATTTTCTGTGTCTATCTGCCTCCGTCCAAGAATTTACTTATTTACCTTTTAATCGCAGCTTCGGAGATGTAACTTTGAAGCGAATTAAACATTTCTTCAATTACTAATTGTAAAAAAAACTATACCATAAAAGAAAGTGTTTTAAAGAAAGCACCTTAAAAATGATAACCCATTAAAATTTACTAGTAACAAACAATTTATACCAACCACATTATAACACAACCTGAAAATAATATTGTCATTTTTGTTTATCTGAAAAATAAAGAGATGAAAGAAATATGAACATTCGCTAGATCTTGTACCGATATCGTAATTCCCTTATGTAACTATACATATGCGAAATACAGAAACATTATCAAAAATACGAATGACCGACTTTATTTGACCCTGAAATAATACAATCCTATATCATAAAAATATTAGTTTTTCACTATTGTGATTTTTTTTTTTTTTTTTTTTTTTGATGGAGCGGGGAGGGTGTCTATTTTTTTTTTTTTATGATTCCTACATGTTTTGAATGTACATTACATGTAAAAAAAAAAATATTTTTTTCAAGCTCGAACATGCCCAAACCCCTTTTCACTTTGCCATTTTCCTTTCCGCGCTCACCTGTGCATAATTTAATTCTATTCTCCACAGCTACGCTGCTCAACGAGGCACACATCAAAGGTATTACACAGACTTCAATAAAAAAAAAAAAAACCTCTGCCTCTCCCCTTTATCTTTCCATGTAGATCAACACCAAGTTTAATTATATTTTAAAATGATCCATTGGTTACATTATAATTTTCATTATGACTTTTGCTACGTTCCAATCGTTCGCAAAGGAAAAAAAAAAAAAAAAAAAAAAATTCACGGATCTTGGGTCGCGAGCAGAGAGCTACTTCCGTACTGCAATTTACAAACAAACCTGAATCCTTCCAGGCTGGAAAGAATAACCGAGCCCGCATACAACACACGGGAGAGGAGAGTAAAAAATCGAGAGTCCCGCACGACGATTTTCTTTCTCTACCCAGCCTCCAGCACCGGAACAAGCTGCTCCTCGCGGTGTATAGTTGGTAAGGGCGCAGCAGCAGCACTTACTCCCCGAGCACAAAAGAAACGGAGCTCTCGCAAAGGGAGAAGAGCGATTGCCCCACTGTATATACGACAATGGGTTATAATACGAGAGAGCCGAAGGAGCAGCAGCATCAACAAGAGCTAAAACAAGAAGGGAAAGAGGGCACTTGTGTATCATACGTGTAGATTGTATATATTGTTCGCGGTGTGCACAAGTGGCGTGTATCAGCGCACGAGAGGACGGTATATATCGGCAAGGTCCGATCGACTGCCCGGCGCCTCTCTCTATATCTTCACGCCCATATCTGCCGATCTATCCGCGCGAGGCGTGAAAAGAAGGGAGCACGGCCATCACGACTTTTATATGTGTATATGTACGAGCAGTGTGTTATATTAATATTCGAGGCGCGAGTGTGAGATCGAGTGGTCGGATTATGCCGGGGAAACGAGAGAGGAACTTCCGATCGAAGGAGAGTCGTGGGGTCCGGCTCGCGGTGATAATGGGGCGTGAGTTATGAGGGAGGCAGATGCAGAATGTGTAATAAACACTGCTGGAACGTGAAAGGACGAGGTGCACGAGGTTGATAGTGATTAGTTTATTGTATATGCAGTTACACTCGCCGCTGTTGACAGATTATGTGTTTTATGTTATACATGTACCTATGCAAGTTATAGGCTTCTACTATATATATATATGCACGGTGTGACACTTTGTGCGACGTATGGGAGAGTCGGGAAGATGTCGTGTAGGAAAAAAATTGATTCCAAGATATGGAACGAGTGGGCCGAGTACACGCAGACGGTAAGTTTTTTTCTTTTTTTTTTTTCGTCTCTCTCCCTCGTTGTTTTTAGTTACACATGTTACATGCGCTGCGAAGAATTTCGAGCCAAGCTCCATAGATTTATAAGAGAGGGGTGCTCCAAATTTCGAAATGAAGGTGTAATCCGATAGTGAATATGATTACGCAGGAGAATTAAATTTTATTCAAATTGAGTAGTTTTTTTTAAACTTTATTTATCTTACATTTCATTCGCCTAGTTATTTGCAGTCTTCACTGAAAGTCTAAAAATGTTTTGGTTACACAGGAATAATTGGAACGTACCGAAATAAAAACATTGAAATTACAAAATAGCACGTGACAAAGTTTTCATTTACTGTTGATTTATACCTTGAATCACTTTAGTGTTCTTTTCCATATGTATGTATATCTGAACGGTATAGTTGTACATAGCTCAATCAAAGACGTGTTGAAACTGTAAAAACTAAAATATCCGTCAGGCTTTTTTCTTCGGAATTATTTTTGGATTGAAATTTACTGTTTATTAAGAAATATTGTTGATACCTGAATGGCAATTTAGACACCGGCGGCACTGGGTTAAAAAGATAAGCGATCGACAGATTTTTTTTTT